CCAAAATACGTGGAAATTAGATGAAAATAATCAAACAGCTTTTTAGTCGCAAACCTGTGTAATTGCCTCACTCTGCTTTCTTCTTTCAACAAGCTCCCAGGGAAAGACTGATTAGCACAATATAATGCAATGGAGCTTAATTGGGTTGGAGTCAGGCTTCTCCTCTGAATTCTGCTGTATAAGGGGTCAAGGAGCTAACAAAATAAATAAAACTGTATACAAAACAACAAAACTGTATACAAAACAACAAAACTGTATACAAAACAGCTATTTGATGATTAAACACTTAACTAGATTAAAGGCTGGTCTTTTAGGGCTCATGCACATGGACGCACTTGCCCCTTTGGGAGCATTTTGGCACCCAGGAGTTAAAGGTGGTGCAGGGAGCCTGCTAGTAGCATACAAAAAAGAAGGGTTTGTGAAAAGGAATTCACAGAAAGCGGCTACATTATGAACAGAATGTGATACTCAGAAAAATTTCCAAAAATTATGCTTTATTACATATAAATATTTGACATATGGGCAATCGCCCATACATGTGATATTTCATACCTTTGGTATAATTTTTGGGAATTCCCCTCTATGGGATAGAACCTACATGGTTATGACACATGTCTTTATATTTATTACATGTGACACTATATACCTATGGTATAATTTTTGTGTACACCTCCTTTGGGAAGTGTCAACCTATGTGCCAGTGCTACAAAGACTTTAGACTTTAGTGGTCATTGTCTTTGCAGCACATCTATCCAGACCGGTCTTGGTGTTATTTTATATGGTTTTAGGTCTGTGTGTATTGTCTCATACTGAGGTGATGGTAAACCAGGGCGATTGCCCATATGTCAAATATTTATATGTAATAAAGCATAATTTTTGGAAATTTTTCTGAGTATCACATTCTGTTCATAATGTAGCCACTTTCTGTGAATTCTTTTTCACAAACCCTTCTTTTTTGTATGCCTCTTTGGGCTACTGAATGGAAGCCATATATTGGGTGATACAGTAATTTATTTTGTAACCTCCAAAAAAACTATCTTTAGCCTGCTAGTAGCAACCTGTATAATAACTTGGGTGTGTGCAGAGCTGTTTCATTTCTTCACCCTGCCTTTGATATTGAGCAACTGCTGGCAGCGGCTGAACACACCACCACTGACTTCCAGGGACCAAAATGCACCACATTTTTATGAGCCCTTTTATTATCTTTATAATCAGCTTTGTTATCACACAAATCCTAAAACAGAAAATTATTCATGTGACCAACAAATGAGAAACAGAAATAGCTAGACCCATCTAATAAAATTAAGACAGGAGCTTATTCTGGAGCAATTAAGCAGTTTGTAGAATAATACATTTTATGATTTCCTGGAGACTGATGCAAATACAGTCCACTCTTGACCCCGTTTGTCGTATTATTTCAACCAGAATGAAACAGAAAGGTCTGTAGATAATCTCATTATTACAGCACATGTAAATTGGAAGGTTTTCTGGTTGTACGCAATGTTCAATTTAGTCTAAAATATGAAATGTTTTATTTATTTTTGTGTTCTACATAAATATATTAAAATAGGAATCGTTTGAGCAATGTGCACAGATGATCCCTGAAAGGAAAAATATTGTATCCATCATCCTTATGGAAATCCATTACTGCAATGCCTGGACTCAAGGGAATGATTAAAGGATAAGTTCACCTTTTAAAAAAAAATAAATGCACATTTCTTTGCTGGTAAAAAAAAAATTTGCATTTATTATTATTTTTTTTTTAATTTAGAGCCTAAAAAGCATTGCGGGTGCCATGCAGTACTCCTGCAGACCTGTCAGTGTATCTTTGTGCTGGTACTTCAGTGCTGTGATAGTTAATTGAGAACTAAAAGCCAACAGCTGCAAAGGCTGTCGGTACTTGTAGCTTTCCATTCACAGAATTCTGTGAATTAATGATGCGGTCGGGCGGGCAGAGCCCGGTATGGCCACGTTTTTTAAAAATGGGGAGAAGATCCTCTGCTAGCTGTCACAAGATGCAGCAGAGCATGCAACGTCTCAGGCATTAGGAACATGTTACATGTTCTACCCAAAAATGGGTGGAACATGTAACATGTTCCCAAAGGTGAACTTATTCTTTAAATCTTTACAAATGACAATATGACTGGCCACCTCTACTGAAGGCAACTTCTGCTAATCATACTGACTCAAAATAGACAGACCACTAGGCGCTAATTCCCACAATCAACGTAGAGTAAAACAAGGGTGAAACAAGGCTAGTTCCACAGCTGCTCCGATGACCATTAGGAGTGTGATGTGATGTTCAAAAAGCTTAGAAAATCAGAGTGCTTGTGGTGAATGCCAGGATAATAATGCATTGGTGTACATATCCAGCAGTCAATATGTATGATGCAAAAGTTTAATAAACCAATAAAACCATAATCACCATGTTACAAAGTATCAATGTGGTAGTATGGTACAAGTAAAGAGATTGGCACAAGTCACAAGCTGAAAGGAATGGTGGGAGCAGCTTACTTGTATATAGACATCGCTATGAGAAGCCTAGATGGTGAACTCCACAGATGTAAAAGTTGTGATCAGCAGCAATTGGTGAGAAATGTGTCCACAAGCCAGATCTCACTAGACCACTGGCTTGTGGACACATTTCTCACCAATTGATGCTGTTCACAACTTTTCCATCTGTGGAGTTCACCATCTAGGCTCCTCATAGCGATGTCTATATACAAGTAAGCTGCTCCCACCATTCCTTTCAGCTTGTGACTTGTGCCAATCTCTTTACTTGTTGGTTACTGGGCTAAGGTTAAGGGGACTTTGCCCCCTCATCCATCCCATCCCCTCCAAATTCCCATCATGGCTTCTAATGCAGTTTTCAACTAAGCTGTCTGGTGACATCTGTTCTTTGCTGGAAACTGGAAAATCATCACTGCAGTGTGCACCTGCCGCTCACTGCTGCCTTCATTATAAGTCATAACGTCTTTGCACTATTCAGGACCTATGAAGACCCTGCCACTGGATAGAAAGTAGAAGGTTGGGCACCTGCAGAAGGACCCTTCCTCTCTGCAAAGAGGAAGAAAGAAACTCAGGACCACATGACCATGGATTATGGGCTTGTTCACACCAGTCCCAATGCAGGCAGAATTGTAAGAGGGGGGTGGGAGTATTGTTTTGGGGAGGGGAGTTTAAGGCTGGAGAAAAGCTTTAAAGTGAATCTGCGCTTTACCTGTGTGCCTGTCTTCTACTCCAAATGCTGAAGAAGCCATTTCTAGAGCAGTTAAAGTCATGGCTTATAAATATGGACTATACCCATGCTTGGTAATTGGCCCAGTTTTGACCCATGCTCCTTCATACCCTAAAGTACCTGGTATTTTTATTCTTTCCTGGCAAATGAACAGAGCAATGTGTGGAGGATGGTGAAGGATAGGTGAATATGCCCTGCTGGGGATGGGGTCAAGATGAAAGTACAACTAAAAGCAAAACTATTTTTAGTTTTGGACAGAGTTGAGATAGATTAAAACCTCTGTTGGGTTTTTTAATTGCTGTCCGTGTTCCAATTAAGGAGATTCATTCTCTCTATATGTCCTAAATATGCAGCGCTAATAAAATCAAAATTAAAATCAAACAGAAATTGCACTATATCATATTAAGGAAGTGTAAGTACACGAAACGCGTTAGAAGGTGCCCCTGACTACTGTGCATACACCGCAAGGCCATTCTGAATGACAACCGGTGGCCATATTGGATCCGGATGTAAGTTCGTTCTTTTAATCTGTTTATGCTGGAATTTTGTGAAATAAAGACCTACTGTACTATTGGAAGCTTTCTCTGAGATTGTCATTTCCTTGGGTGCCCGTTTTTGAAGGTTTTATGTGACCTGGATTGGTGTGTGATCCTCCCCCTGGTGGCTGTGATTGGCATATTTGAAGACTAGAGGGTATACCTAGATGGATGACACCTAGTGGCCTATACACTGATGACATCTATCCCTATGGTATTACAAGTCCAGAGTACCAGGAGCAGGTCTTATTTGCTCCATGCGCATTAATTGCGCTATCTAGTTAGTGCAATGTTTGTCTATTCTCACGAGCACAAGAGTCACAGATTTCCTTTACTGCGAATTTATTAATGCTTGCACGCAATATTTCAATGTACCACTAATATTGGACTCAGTTGTTTTAATATGATATAGTGCAATTTCGGTTTGATTTTCATTTTGATCTTATTAGCGCTGCATATTTATATATTTATGTTTCTGATATTGGGGTTTTAAGGTTGCCTTTTATGCAAGCAGCTTATATATTTATTAATACTCTTCCCAGCGCTCAATTACCGCTTTTATATCTCTATATGTCCTGTTTATCATTATCATTGAAAGTGAAAGTAAAAGAATATCCCAAATTGTGGGTTGTCCCCAGAAAAAGTAATAGAGGGGAAACCTTCCAATGGGGACACTAGTTCTGGCAACCTGGGGGTCCCCAAGGGATTCTCTTAATTTGCAGATATTCCCTCTCACTTCCTATTTTGGCTATGGGACAGAAAGTGAAGAGAAATCTTCCTATTGGGATACAGATGGCAAAAAATAAATTGACAGAGGTTATGATCCTCCCTTACTTTAACCAAAATGAAAAATAAGTTTTGCCTATAGCCAATGCACAAGCAATGCATAGATTTGCTTAAGGTTTCAATAGCACTGTGACCTCACTTTGCCTTGAGAAAGGCATCTTGGATGGTCCAGGTCCATCAGCCCTTTGTTACTGAGTGAAGAAAAGGAAACAATTATTGTATTATATGCTGGTGAGTATTTTCTAACGAGAACCTGCCACTGCCCTGAATAAGCAACATGACAGATTCCCTTTAATCCATTGGCAATTCTTCCTCCTTCACAAGGTATTGGTTCCATATTAAATCTATAGGTGCAGCTTAATGGCCTTCCCAAAGCAGTAGGGAACTAAAGTTGACCTTATTATATATTGCAAATCATTTATTTTCCTTTTTTCATTTAGTTCCTTTGGAAGGTCTTAAAAGTCAAAGTCATTTTGATGAGATGAGGTCAAATTATATTAGAGAACTGGCAAAGGCCATCAACCTAAGGCACAAAGGAGTTGTTGCGAGTTCTCAGCGTTTCTATCACCTGACCAAAGTAATGGACTCCATGCATGAAGTAAGTGTTTCCTTGTTAAAGCCATTTTTTTACTGATCGTTGTACCATAACACTGGTTGTGATAATATTTAGAATGAAGATAGCCTGCACAAGTCTAGCCATGCAACTCAGTTTAAGTGTATACTCCACTACTTCCCCTCACCATATATACAAACTAAAGTATACCATTCATGCTACCGTCTTACTGTACATCATCTAACACTGCGAAGTGCAAAGGCATGTCATACTAGATCTAGCACCTCCTAGTTAGCTAGGTTGAGCTCTAGTTCAAGTGGTAGTGAGAAGGGCTGAGTATAAGTCTGGGTGTGATAGCCAGGTGGCTCAAATTGCGTTCAGGGCTGAGAGGCTCTGCAGACCAGCATTCTGGAACTTACCCCTGCACTAAAACCTTGGAGAAAAATCTAGAAGCAGTGGGCAGAGGTTAGGAGTGGCTGGTCTGTACTCTTAGAGGTTCCTGGCCAATCCTCAATAGGAGGCTTGGCAAGGGGACAGGACAGCCTTTAAGTGTAGCTGAGCCTGCTCAGCAGAAGGAGAGTTTGAGTGGAAGTCTATAGGTAATAGCTGCATTGGTGAAGCCAGTGCCTAGAAGGTTTAGGCTGGTAGGATTAAAAGCATAAGTACAAACTTTCTGAAGTGTCACTTATCCTTTGAGCATTTATAATATAGATTTTTTGTTTAATTTTGAAAAAAAATGGTGAGTGTGATGAATGTTTGTTTGTTTTATTATATCCACATACGCAACCAGTGCAAATGTTATCTACAGACTCGTTAAAAGAAAACGCATCCAATGAAGTTGGAATAATGGAATGAGAACCTTTATTATTAAATTAATTGATTATAACTATCCAAAAAAAATGTTTTTCCTATGAGAGATCTGCACATAATGGTGAAATGTGCATCTGACCCTTAAAATTTGAGGTCCATCCTATCTGGTGAGTGAGCCTTTTAAAAGTTGGTCGCACATTTGATGTGAAGTTAAGAATCACATATGGTGTTTTGGATAATTTATCTGGTTAAAGGTGGTGGATCCATGTCCAACGTGTGGTGAATAAAACAGTTAAGCTGGCCATAGATGTATCTAAATTTCTTCTATCAAGGTTTCTATCTGACTTCTATCAAGGGAACACAGAAAGACACTGGACTTTGCAAATATTGTATTATATTTTTGTAGCACATATTTTCTTTTAGCACTAGTTGGGTATGTGACTATAATATTATATTTATTTAATCAGCTGGTTTTCACATTATAAAGCAGGGGTGTCCAACCCGCGGCCCACTGGCCACATGTGGCCCAAGACAGCCATGAATGCGGCCCAACACAGAATTGTAAACCTACTTAAAAATGTTGATTTTTAATGAATGTTGAATTTGTTTGGTAAAAATGTTTTTTTTTTAACCTTTTTGAAATTATATATAAACAAATTCAAACAGATGAATATAATCATAAATTACAAAAATTGGAAAAAATCATAAAATTCAAAAATACAAAAATAAAAAGTAATTAAAAAAAGTCCAGCATAAAGTGTCCCAAAATGTCCCAATGTAAACACAAATAGTGCCAAACAGAAATGGTGTCCCAAAATTGTCCAAATCTCCAAATTTTATCCAGTCAGAAGAAATTCCCTTTCATCCCGCAATACCTCGAAAAAAAAAACAAATTCAGAAATCTAGTGCATTACCTTTATAAATAATATATATATATATATTCTCTTCGTGCAAAAATAAAAACCAAAAACACAAAAAAGTGTGCAAACACTATATATGTGTATTTTTCCGTGCACATGTGAATGAACTGTGACCACTCAGTGAACACTGCAACAGTGTGTATCCACCAGCACCAATAGTATTGGACACTATTACCCTCTGTATCCTATACCAACATCCACATGAGATCTTCTGAATGCTCCAATGAAATTATTCCAAGGTCCTCAAAAAGACAAGAAGGGTCTCAAGGCTCATATTCAAAGTGTAAAACAAGATTTAATGAGAACTTACATTAAAATTTTCTTAATTCGGCTTCCAACATGCTTCCTGTGTGAGTCACACAGGAAGCATGTTGGAAGCCGAATTAAGAAAATTTTAATGTAAGTTCTCATTAAATCTTGTTTTACACTTTGAATATGAGCCTTGAGACCCTTCTTGTCTTTTTGAGGACCTTGGAATAATTTCATTGGAGCATTCAGAAGATCTCATGTGGATGTTGGTATAAGGATACAGAGGGTAATAGTGTCCAATACTATTGGTGCTGGTGGATACACACTGTTGCAGTGTTCACTGAGTGGTCACAGTTCATTCACATGTGCACGGAAAAAATACACATATATAGTGTTTGCACACTTTTTTGTGTTTTTGGTTTTTATTTTTGCACGAAGAGAATATATATATATATATTATTTATAAAGGTAATGCACTAGATTTCTGAATTTGTTTTTTTTTTCGAGGTATTGCGGGATGAAAGGGAATTTCTTCTGACTGGATAAAATTTGGAGATTTGGACAATTTTGGGACACCATTTCTGTTTGGCACTATTTGTGTTTACATTGGGACATTTTGGGACACTTTATGCTGGACTTTTTTTTAATTACTTTTTATTTTTGTATTTTTGAATTTTATGATTTTTTCCAATTTTTGTAATTTATGATTATATTCATCTGTTTGAATTTGTTTATATAATTTCAAAAAGGTTGTAATATTGTGTTGCTTTCTGGGGAGAAGGCGTGACTTTTTGAGGGGGTTTTGGGGTTAGGTGATACACATATCTAATAATGTTTTTTTTTTTTAGTTTGCTGAACTTTTACAAGTTTTATCTTCCCAAATTAAAATCTCCCACTCTTCACAACCACGTCTTACACGTGTCATCCATCAAACCAGATATTGCTGCGTTAGTTTATCAAATACCATGGCAAATATCGCACTAGTTTTATGTTGCCCTTTTTTACTTTTATTATAAAAAATATTACAAAAAAAATTAAGTTTTATTACTCAGATAGGTACGTTATCTACATCAGTGATTGTTAACTCGTGATCTGCCTTACTTTTTTTGCTCATCAGCAATCCTTATTGTTAGTGTATTTTATATGTGGCCCAAGACAATTCCTCTTCTTCCAATGTGGCCCAGGAAAGTCAAAAGGTTAGACACTGCTGTTATAAAGGGTTTGCATGAAATGTTAATTTGTTAGATAGCTTACTTGTTATAGGCACTTTCTAATTTTAGAGATTTGGGTGTGTGTTTTCCTGTAACGTCCTCAACTCTTCTCTGCCAACAGCTGGTCAAGCAGCTCCACCTGTATTGCCTCAACACCTTCCTTCAGTCTCGGACGTTGAGCGTGGAGTTCCCAGAAATGATGACAGAGGTCATATCTGCGCAGCTCCCCAAAATTCTAGCAGGGATGGTAAAACCGCTGGTTTTTCACAAGAAGTGAATGCTCTTTCCTCTCTATTATCCATACGTATTTATTTCCTTTAGTCCGAGCTGTTTTATGTGATAAATATTTTGTTTGTAATGTGTTACAACAATGGACAAGGGGATTTGCACTCATACTGGAGATTCAAATAGTTCATGAGAGACTGCAGCAAAAGTGGAGCAGCTGTCTATAGTGGCATTTCCCAACCTTTTTTCAGCCGCATCACCCTTTTAAAGTTTGCAAAATCTCAGGGCACCCACTCAAAAAATGTAAAAAAAATCTTACTTTTAATGGGAGAGGATAATTAGACTCTGATTAATCCCCTACACTGCCAGAGCAAAATCCATGCTGCTTTATTACTTTTACCTATTAGCCTAGATATGGTGACTTTCATTTCCCTATATGTGGAAAACTACTTTATTAAGCTTCTATGTTTGACTGATATGATCCTTTGGAAGCCTGGCATCATCCCTATCACCCCTTTCACTATCCCCACTAACAATGACACTGCTGCCCGTCCAGAGGTTTGGTATAATGTATTTATTATTAAAGCCCTAGTGTCATGGTTGCCATTGTCCTCCTGCTGCAAATTCAGTTAGGAGGAAGTGGGGGACAAGGCTAAGTCCCACTGTGTGTGGCTATGGAGCGCTGCTCCGTAAACGCCCAGTTTGGGAGAGAGCAGACACCGTGTTCCTCTATAGCGCCTGTTTGCTAGGATGAAGAAGAGAAGGAGCCAAGATCACCAACGGGGGACCCAAAAGGAGCAGAATCGGGGCTGTTCTATGGAATACCATTGCACAGAGCAGGTGAGTATACCATGTTTGTTAGTCTATTTTAAAAAATAGGCTTTAGTAACACTTTAAAGCTGAACAGATAAGGGAGGTATTCAATAAAACTCAACAACATTATATATTTTTAAATGTAATTTTATATAACTACGCATCTAAAAATTAGCTTTGTTAATCAGATGTACAGTAGAACTAGCAGAGGAAGGGTCAGTACTCTGAACCAGTCAGGCTCTGCTGCATACACATGTGCTGAAAATGAAGGTGCTGACAGAAGAGAGAGATGACCCATCAGTTTGTTGCCTAAAACATTTCACTCCTAAGAGCTCAATTGTAGAGTTTCTACACTTAAGGTTTTAGTAGTGAAGTTTGTAAGTGGAAGGGGTTTTTAGCAGTATTTTACATGCCCCTGCCATTCTTTTGGCTCAAGCATCCATGTGGCTGGGATGAGCCACAAAGAAGCCAGCACCCAAGATGCAAACCCTGCAGTTTTTGATTGGAGGAGTTGGGATCCTACATTTAGATCATGACTAGTAGCAGAACAAATTCACAGTTTGTACTATATTTCTAATTGTTGATGTTAGGTGCCTATATAGTGGGAAAAATGTTTCTTTTAGTCACTTTGCCCCTTGATTTTACATTGTTTATGTAAATATGTTATTGAAAAGATGGGAAGGGGAGTGGTGGGGGTGAAAAACACAATTAGCCTGGGGGGCGAGAAGTGTAAATCTTGTTTGTGCTGAAGACTGCGCTGGACTGACTGGATCAGTCACTGGTCGTAGGTGGGTGTGGTTGTGCAGGTGGGTAGGGGGAAGTCCTGCCAGTTAGTTATACCCAATGGTGGATATTGGCGGTAAACCCTATTAGGGTTTGAGCTGCTGCTTTTATAGTAGAGCCTAGTGATTTCCACACATATACTTGGAATAGTTGAAAAGAGGGAGCATCAGATGTCCAAAAGAATTCAGTTTTCAAGATAGATTAGGGGTGTTCATTGAGAGTAACGACAAGTACATCAAGCCAACGTGTTTTGGGAGAAAAGACTCTCCCTTCTTCAGGGAAAGATGAGAATTAATGGGCATATCATCAGTCCTTATTTGCTGGCAGGCCTCGGTGGACAGCAGGTGGATGGAGGAGTCGTCTCCTTTAAAACCGCCCCTGCATGACAGGTGGAATAGCGCTGGGCTCTGTCAGAACACAGATTACGTTCATATGACAGGCTGTGTCTTCCTCCAGTAGAAACTATGGAACGCAAGCCAGCGTTAGGACAGGAACTGGAAGTGACGTCAGGGATGTATTGATGTCAAAGCATGCTAGGTGATAACTGCAGAGTGGTTTTAAAGGTTTTAAATCTCATCCATCCATCCGCTGTCCACCGAGGCGTGCCAGCAAATAAGGACTGATGATATGCCATTTATTCTCATCCTTCCTTGAAACGCGTTGGCTTGATGTACTTGTTGTCACTCACAATAAATGCCTCCTAATCTAGCATCAAAACACATTGTTTTGGACATTGGGCGCTCCTTCTTTTCTACTATTCCAACAAGTATAAATCTGGCACTGCTGAAAGTTTAACCAATGGCAAAATGTTTTTTAGTTTGGGACAGAGTGGTGAGGGATTAAAACCCCTTCCAGACCTCTGAGGTTTTTTTTGCTGTCTGTGCCTTTGTTAGGGAGATTCACCCTCTCTGTTTGTCCTGTTTTCTGATATCTTTGAAAGTAAAAGAAAATCCCAGATTTTTGGTTATCCTCAGAACGGGTATAGAGGGTAAATCTTCCAATGGGGATCTTTGTTCCAGTAGCCCCAAAGGATTCTCTTAATTTGCAGGGATTTCCTGGTATAGGAAGTGAAGGTAAATCTCCCCAATAGGACACAGATGGCAAAAAACTAAAATGGGTTATAACTCTATTTTACTTAATCCAAAATGGAAAAAAAATAGTTTTGCTTATAGTTCTACTGTAAGCATATCAGGCTTTCTGGCAGGTGCCAGTATTGTCATATTGCTAGTCCGTACCCAATTTTATATGCCCCATTACTGCTTATTTTCATTTCAGTAAATTTCTATTGAGTTTTTCAACAGGAACGCAGTAGGTTACATATATTCCTAATAATAAAACATTGAGTTAGGATCTCGCACTGCTTCTCTCACATTTCAGAGTTATAAAGGTAATATTTTTTTTTAGAGAGGAACGCTTTATGAGGAGAGGTCAATACTGTTTAATTTCTATAACTGTTATCCAAAATCCTGGAGATAATGGAGTTGATTTACTAAAGGGAAATAGGCTGTTTACTTTGCATGGGAAGTTGCACTTGGCAAGAGAAATCTTCCCCACAATTTAAAGTGCAAGTTCACCTTTACAGAAAATCTGTAAGGTGACTTTACACTGGACCCCTTCCCCTGCTGTACCAGTGTACCATGACGTAGTCACCGGAACGCTGCTTCTGAAGATTTAAAGTTCCTGCGGCTTAATCCCCTATCTGTGCCTCCCAGCGTCTACGTACAAGAGGTATTCTAAATGGTCAGCATTGTCACATGGACTGTGCTGACCAATCAGAATCTGTCTAGCCTGTCCTGTAAGCAGTGTGAGGAGAGGAGAGAAAGCCAGGAGGATTTCAAATCTCAGGACTTGTGAAGTGGATGACAGCAGGGAATCGCAGGAGAGTAGTACAATGGGATGGGGGAAGAGGGTCTAGTGTAACATTTTCTTTAAAGATGAACTTACACTTTAAGTTTAACATTGCTAAGAATACCCAATCACTTGCCAGGAAAAAAAAACAGCATTTTGCCTTGCACATGTAAACATAAGTAGAGCTTCACCTCATTCACTAAGCTCTGGGGCAAATTGCTTTTACCTATCACCCTCTATCCAGACTTAAAGTGTTACTAAGTCTACAACAGTAAAATCAGTCTGTATATGCAGTAAAGCATGCTTGTTATACTCACTGTGGAACCTAAGGGGTTAATGCTCTGCATTGTATAAAAAAACTGTTTGATTCTGTCTTCTCTGCCCTTCCTCTTGTTCAAATGTCCATGCTGATAAGACAGACTGAACCCGTAGCCCTTCTGTGCATGCTCAGTTTAGTGTGTATTGCTACAGATACTTTTTTTTTTTCTTGGGAGAGTGTATGTGATCAGCACAGCACCAATCAGCACTGTCCAGACAGAGGTCAGGGGTTTTTGCATCCTCCTAGAGCAGAAAGAAAACTCCTCCTACAAGCTTTAACCAGTGCTCTGCTGAACACTAATAGAAGTCACAAGACTTCTGCTGAGAAAAGGTATTTAGCAGTTTATATTTACTGAAATAATTGCATTTCCATGTTCTGTGTACTGTGGGAGACCAGATATAGTGAAAGCAGGGTCCTGGGTTTAGTAACACTTTAATGGCCCACAATGGCGGCAGCTCCCCCACTCCCCTTGTAGGCAACAGTGTCTCTATATGCGCTTTTTTACTCTAATATCAACAAAGTCTATCCAGCATACAAAGGCAGAGTAGCAGTGCAGGTTTTCTGAGATGGTTTCAGTAATTTCTGTAATTTCTTCACACATAGGAAATAGGATTCTTTTCTCCTTCATTTCTTCCCTCATTCTCAGGAGCGGTGTTAATTTTGACATACCCAGTACAAGGCACAATTACTAAAACGATAGACTGTTCTGTGTAGCTGCACTCAGTCTGCAGAATGTTCATAGCAAGAAGACCAATGCATTGTACATACCAGCAGCCTGCAGACACTCACCTGTTTACTTGTCTCCTACAGATTATGGGGCAGCATAAATGATCCTTCTTTACAATTATATGAGCACTGTTATATAGTACAGCCATATTCTTATGAAAATAATGAAAACATATTTTAATCATATCATAGTGTTCTAATATTTGTTAGAACAGAAGCTTTATTAAAAATATATATTAATCATATAACAAAGCTAATACATATAACAAAAATACAAAAATAACAAATGAGCCCTGCTGCTGTAAAGGCTTGTGTACCCTTGTGTTGGTCTATAAAAAAGAGACCCACAGTAAATTGCTTTTCTGAGTGGTAACAGGAAGCATGCAGTTGCGGCATGGCCCAATCCAAATTACTGGAATATGTAGTGCCCGGCAGCAGCACTGTCCACCAAATGTGACAGGAAGGTATAATTTTTTGCCACACCGTGAAGCAAAGCTTTGCGGCCACCCCATGTGTACACCCCCACCCAGCTGCCTTTGCAGCTTAAAGTGTATGTTACCCCA